CCCCGAGGCGGCCCTGGCGGCCCACTGCGCGGGACGGGAGGGAATAGCCTCCACGCCCTTTGTCGCTCCGTTTATCCCGAGCTGGGCTCTGCTCAAGAGCTGGGGAGACTGGTGCGGCCTGGTTACGTCTTCGCCCGAGCGCACTGGCTGCGGTTCTATGGGGAAGGCCCGGCCCCGCGGCGGTCTGATCCCTGCCACAGGGCGCGTCTACACCTTCGCTTATGCGCCTTACAGCCTGACTGCGCCTTTAGTTGAGTAGGTGCTTAATAAAGTACGTGCACTTTATTAAATGCAGGGTGCTTAGAGTTACTGCGCAGTAGCACACGTTATTTAGTGACACTACGTGTTAGCCTCATCACACAGTGCAGGAGGCTATTAGCATGGTTTGTGCTGTGACGCCACTGCGCGGTGTGATTAGGTTAATCCGCAGTAAGCGATTCATGTAGACGCACCCAGAGTCTACAAATGCCTCCAGATGCCAGGATCTTGGCTACACAGTTTATGGTGCCGGAGGATTGCTTGCAGGCTTTTCCTCTTGCTCACTCCTGCAGCCTTTTGGCTAGGGCAGGGCTTCCCAAGCTATTCCTTAGCATGATCCTATTTATCGCCCCATTTCCTCAGCATGGCCCCTCACTCCCAACCCACAGCCCCCCACCCCGTGATCCCATCCGCTGATGTTGTGTCTCCCATTTAGGATCATGACCCACAGCAGAGGTGGATTAACACTGGGCCTCTGGCTATGGCAGGGGGGGCAGGCAGGAAAAGTCTCTAACGCTACAGGAGGTGAGCAGGGTGCTTGTCCCAGGAGCTGATGCTGGGTGGGGACAGTGGAGTGGGACCAGCCTCTGCTAGATGGGCAGCGCCGTGTTGCTCCAGGGGGTTTTCCAGGGGGTCTCTCAGCCGGCCGGAGCACACAGGAGCTTCTAGACCATGGGGAAGTACCTTCCCCAACTGGTGCCCTCCTTCTGGGGCCCTGCTGGGAGGCTTGTTTGGTGCAGATCCAGGCTCCTGCAGCCCCAGTGCAGGCCTCTGCTGAACCCTCTCCACAGACCCACCCTGTGGGCCAGGTGTGGGTTTGAGGTGGGTCAGATCTTGCGTGGGGTTCAGCTGCAGGCGTGATCCCAGGCAGCCAGGATGCAGGAGCATAATTTCATTTTCTGGTCTGCAGGGTTCCCCATGGATATCTGCTGCCAGATTTTGGGACCTGTAGGAGCCTGTGCAGTACTGTGTTAAATCCTTATACTGCCCTCTAAGCTACATGGGCAGACCCGCTGTCTCTGCAGCTGGCTGCACGAGGATACAAGTCCTGTGGTAAAGCTCAAATCGCAGGTTTGGGCCCTTCAGACTGTATTGTACTGATTCACAGGTGACTTCAGAGGAGATCATTCTCAGACAAAAGTTTTCTGACAATTGCAAAAGTTTAGCACTCATGAAAATACTTCTAAGGACAGTTCATGAAAAAACCCAATTCAGAATTTTTTTGTATTTTTATTGGTAGAATAAATACTTTTGCATCACTGAAAAAAGCAACCAATTTCACTATTTTTTGATCTGCCTAGAATTACAAGGTTTGACATCATGTAGACAAAAAGGAATTGATGAGGTCATAGGATGCAATAACAAGTTACTGAGCAGTTAATCTAGCAGGCACGGTATTATATCTACTAACAATCTAATGCCTATTCTTCTTACCCTACAATCCTAGTCACACAAGTCCTACAGAGGAAGGACAACTAGAGAATAACCTGCCTTGGAGTAGGTTTCCTCCGGGGCCCCACCAGAATGGTTTACAGTACCACTATTAGCACTTCCATGACTAAAGCAGGAACGACAGGCCTGTAGAAAGGTCCAGGTCTGGCTGCTATGTGCAAGGAGTGGGGTGTGAAGATTACCTAGTGAAAGTTTTCCTGCAGCTTTGGCAGGATAAAGTGGCTAATGGGTAGGAAAGGAATAAAGCATTTCATAAAATGTATTTTAGGGCTGTATTCCTTCGCAGGCTTCTATTCTATTCTCAGATTAAAAGCTGTTCATCCTCACTACTGAAGTTTTGCAAAACTCCATTCCTGCCTGTGTCTATTCTTGTTTTCCCTTGTACTACTGGCTGTGATTATGGCTCATCATGTGTTTTTTTCAGCCACTCCCATTGTTCCTATTAGCCATCCTTGCATTTGTGCTTTATGGAGTAGTTCAGGTTTGGAAGAGGTTCCTGATTACAGGTTGCCTCTCTCACCTGCTCTTAAAACCTCCCAGCTGTTCCAAGAAGCATGCATTCCAGTTTCAAACTCCAGACCCAACCCTTTGTTTGTCACAACCTCACTTTGAGGTAAGTTCTTTTTCTGTTGTGATCTCATATTTTCTATTGTGTAGTAGTGCCACTGAATAAATCATTATAAAGATACTGGAAACACTTCACTTTTGAAATTTAGCTGCCTCTGGCATAAAAAACTGTAGTATAGCAAACAACCAACATTTGGCATAAAAAGCAGGATAGAAGAATTTTGGCCAATGGTGCAGGGGTTATATCCCAACTCTTGCAGAAAGTTCCTTTGGGATCCTTAATGTCCATGTGGAGCAAAAGGGTTTGGTTTTGGGGTTCATTTCTAAAAGATCCAACACAAAGGCTAAGTACAGACAGTCAAAAAGCCTGAGGCTGAATCAGTCCAGTCTTTGCAGGTTAGCCTAAATTGAAAAGATTAAACTGAGAAACAACTGGACACACATTTTACCTTTGATTCAGGAAATGCAGCCACTTCTCTGCAGTGGGGCCAGAAGCCAAGGAGCTCTAGAGCAGGGGCGGGCAATTATTTCGGGCAGAGGGCCGCTTACCCAGTTTTGGCAAGCTGTCAAGGGCGCATGGGTAGCCCTGCCCATTGACAGGTGCCCCGCCCCCTACTCACCATCTTGGGACCAATGTCCCAGGGCCAGCACTGGTGGGACCCAAGTGGGGTGCAGGCTGGCCAGAGGTCTGTGGACCTGGGCTGGGTTGCACCAGCAGTGGGAGGGGAAGGCTGGTCCTCCCCTGCCCCTGACCCCTTCTTTTTGATCTGCCTAGTATTACAAGGTTTGACATGTAGGCAAAAAGGAATTGATGAGGTCATAGGACGCAATAACAAGTTACTGAGCAGTTAATTTAGGAGGCACAGTATTATATCCACTAACAATCTAATTCCTATTCTTCTTACCCGTGCTGGTGCAACCACAAAGAGTTTCCTGCACCGGTGAAGCCACAAAGAGCCACATGGTCCCAGGCCAGAAGACCCTGCTAGGCAGGGGCTTCCAGCTGGGGGGGCAGGGCTGGGCAGGCCCTGCTGTTCCAAGAACCTGCCAGGGCTTTCCCTGGGTCCTACTGCTCCTTTGATCTTTGACAGGAACCAGGGACAGTTACGTATTCATTTTCTAAATTTTTTTAGGGGACCCGCAACCCAGATAAAATGGCTTAACGGGCAGAATCCGGCCCACCCCTGCTGTCGAGCATGGTTCTCTAGCTGTGTGTTGACTTCATTTTCCTGGTTCCATCGAGGTCTCTGGGATTTGCAGCCCAGAATCACAGCAGCAGGATTCTGCAGTGTTGCTCATCACTTCCTCTTCCTGCTTCCAGGTGCCTCTTGGATTTGTAGTCCACAGTCGCAGTCAGCAGTAACTTTCTGTAAGTTTAGCAGGGCAGGACAGTTCTGTACTTGGGGAAGAGGGGTTTAACTGGAGAAAGGGAAGTTTAACCCCCTCTCCCTGCCCCCAGACCCCAGCCAGGGCTTGGTGGGGGGACTGCAGTCCCTGCCTCTCTCCTCCCCCCCACCCTTCTCTGCTGGAGCAGATAGCACAGCACAGCCCAGCCCAGGGCTGGAAAGCATTGGCGATGTGTAGGGGGTGCACATGGGTGCACGTGCACCCCTGAGATTGGTGGTGCTCCCCCTGCAAAAAGCGCCACTAATTGTGCTGGCGGCACCTACGGGGGGTGGTTGGCATTCACCCCTCTCCTCCCCTGCTGCTGACACTGCCATGGCCACCTGAAGGAGCTCCCCACTCAGCCCACCAACACCGCTGTGGCTGCCTGCAGGAGCTTTCCACCACCCCCCCGTCGCCAACACTGCTGGCGCCACCTGTGGGCAGTTGCTGTGTCCCCCCCAGCCTCCAGGGGCATGTGGCATTCAGGCTGGGAAGCATGCTGGGATGCTGGGGGACTCTGATTTAACTTGAACCAGGAAGGGGTCTGGGACAGAAGTTTCGTAAACTGGTTTGACCCAAATCAGTTAAGTCTGATATACTACATTCAACCAGGTTTATCTTAAACCAGTTTCAGCCATTTTGAAACTGGTTTATGTGCCCTGAACTTCTGTTCTGTTACAGGTTTAAACCAGTTTCTGATCACTTAGACCAGTTTATAAGTGACCAGTTTATGTGTAACTTTTGTCCCTAGCCTATGAGTTGTATGAAACTTTGTGGACTGGCCAAAGGAAAATTCCAGCAGGGAGATCCTCATT